CTTTTCTATTGACGATGTCATGAAAAGTTCAAATGTTTATTTTATGTTTTGGACATGACTATCTGCATACCTAGTTGGGCCTGGAAGCATCTTGATTACATTAACTGCGCTAATGTCCATCCATCCATCCATCCATTTTCATCCGCTTATCCGTTACCGGGTTGCGGGGGCAGCAGTCTCCACCCAAATCACATTGCACCGTACCTAAACCTTCCTGCGGGTGGTCCACTGGAAGGTACCAACCGCCCCAACCGGGATTCGAACTTGCCCAGGAGGTGAACTCTGGGGTTTCACACCAATGACAGAGACATTGCCTCTGGGCCAAAGCGCCACCAGCGCTAATGTAATCAATATATTTTGTTTGACACAGGACCTCATGACTGCAGCTTGATAATTTGCCCTTTTGCAGTGCTGATAGAGAACATCACTTGTAGGGGGAATAGACAATTCTGGCAAGGCTGATGATGTTATACAGAAAGTCTTGTACCTAGCCTCATTGACATTTTCAGCAACTGGCTGATCATACAGATGGCATACATATTTGCAAAGTAGTGCAAATGTTGAGTGGTCCAAGTTAAAGTTAGCACCCAGATTTTTAAAAGCCTTGAGATACTCCTAAGGTTTCTCACATGCTACAGAAAATGTCTTTCTTTTGCATTTACCATAAAAGGCACTTGTGGAGTCACACCCAGAGAATGTATGTATGCTAATCAAGGCTGAACACACACTGTTTCCGAGAGCTGATGACACCTTCGCATCACAGGGACGGGCAACAGGACACGCAACACGCATCACCGTCAATGATGCGTGTCCTGTTGCCCGTCCCTGTGAAAAAATATAAGCTGCATGGTAAATTTGTCAGCAGACTTACAGCAATGACTGCCACATCAGTGTCAGGGCTCTTAACGATGACAGTTGTGTGCTCCTGTGCAGCATGCTGTGCATGCAAAAACACCCTTGTGTCACATTCTTGCATGAACAGATTGTACACGCTCCATTACAGTCACACAGTGACATTGATCCCTATGTGTTATGTACAAGCTGAGGTTTTTGCCCACTCCTGTAAGTCTGCATTACGATGTATTTGTCCTTTTTCTTGCATACTGTGCACATGGCTGGAAGGATGGGGCCAGAGCTCGCGATGGGCAGGCCTGACCTGGGTCAGGCCTGTTTCTTTGTCGGACATGGAGTCATCCTGCTCAATGTTGATGGGATGGCCTCACTTCTTGAGCGGTCTTCCGTATCCTCTCCTCTATCACGCTCGAGACTCCTTTTGACTTTTGCAATTGCACTCTTGTCAATAAACCTCCGGTAGCATGTGGGATGGAAAGCAGCGTTCTCGGGAATGCTTTCAAACTCCAAATCCAGGCAATGTTTGAGCACTCAACCCGAGTCACCGTTGTAGACTCTTCTTGTACGTATTCCACCGTGCAAGTGTGAAATTCTTTTTTCGTGATCCCAAGTCAAAGACTGGAACGTCGAGGCGGAGTTCCGCGTTTAAACTGTGTTTTTAATACAAAGTGAGCAAAAACAAGCAAGAGAGTATACAGAGTACATTCAAACAAAACAATTATGCATAAAACCGAACTTACAGAGACTTTTCTCTGGAGTCAGTGCCGATCTAGTAGCCTGCCGGTTACCCAGGACCTATGCCAGGAGCGCTGACTCACCAACTGTCCCGAGACCTCTGAATTTATATAGACATACAAACAAGTTTGATGTGGGAGTGGGTTTTTTTCTCAATGACCTTCCTCTGCAGGTGCGTTAGTTTTTCTAATGATTACTGTATAAGACATGTAGTCTGCTCATGGTTAAATGTATGTACGGGTTGTGCTGTTTTGGGCAAGTTGTATACAAAATGTTAGTGTCAACTAGCATGAGAGTTGATGCAACAGGTTTTTCAAATGCTCTTCCTGAGGAGGTAAACATTGAGGAAACTGGAAACGATTACAGCTATGTTCTGTACAGAATAACATGACACTGTCCCAATAACAATAATGATCACGTTAATGGATTATGTTATTGGTGCATAAGGTCAGTATTAGGCATGCTCAGGTCAACGTCAGCTGAAATCAGTAGATTGCTAGAAAAAAATTAAATGCACGACATGACCGATGGTCGAGCTGAAACCAGTTTCTTCTGTTGCCTTATTGTGAACAGGTTATTACAGGCCATACAGTTTTACAGGAGTACCTAGAAAGATGTTATTACCTTTGGAAAAACCCAGTACAGCTGGCTTTCACAGTGTTCACGCCAACCTGACCATTTCCAGTTTCACATTTATCAAAAATGGTTCTTAAGCTTCATCTAACTGGGCTAAGTGAAAACATTTTTTTTTATTTTTAAATACACCTGCCATCAGGTTTTATGAACCTACCACTCAGACTTCTGACAGCTGAGATAGTGCTGATGCAGCAAGTTGTTCCTATTTGTTTACTAACCCCATGTGATATAGTCACATCATCAGCAAATTGTTTGACAAAAATGTGTCTACTGATCAAAAACTGCTACTTTAATTATATATATATATATATATATATAAATGACACAAATTCTACTTTTTTACTTAATACAAGTAATGTATTTAAATTATATTAACTAATAAAATTAGTTGATGCAAGAATCACCTAATAATGTTGACATAAAGTGGAAGGTCAAATAACTAATAGTAGTTTGAAAGAACACATTGTAATAACTCAAAAGAACTGAAATATTTTGTTGTAATAACTAAAAATTGTAATTTTAGAAATATTCTAGTTAATTGTTCATCCTCTATGGATCAATTTGCAAATTACATCCAGGCAGGATTAGGTGGCT